AAAGCTATTTAATAATATCAGTATTCCAGAAGAATTGAAAAGTGATGACCAGATATTTAAATATATTATGAGTTCAAGAGAAGAAGTACTAATAAGACAAGTTGGTGAATACTTATACAAAATATTTGAAATCAGAAATAACAATAACTGACATTTTACTTTTACTTTAGTTTTATATGTATTGTACTTTATTACTAACATTTTATTGCTGTCAACCAATGGAAATTATTTCTAAGGATGCAATAAATTCAATATCAATATCAATGTTCACACCTCTGAACCTCCCAAATTATCATTTCAGTATATGTACAGTTCTCCACACACAAATGTTCGCATCTCTGACCCTCCCAAATTATCATTTCAGTATATTTACAGTTTTCTACACACAAATGTATGCATCTCTGACCCTCTCAAATTATCATTTCAGTATATTTACAGTTTTCTACACACAAATGTCCACACCTCTGAACCTCCCAAATTATCATTTCAGTATATGTACAGTTCTCCACACACAAATGTTCGCATCTCTGACCCTCCCAAATTATCATTTCAGTATATTTACAGTTCTCCACACACAAATGTCCACCCCTCTGACCCTCCCAAATTATCATTTCAGTATATTTACAGTTTTCCACACACAAATGTTCACACCTGTGACCCTCCCAAATTATCATTTCCGTGTATTTACAGTTTTCTACACACAAATGTTCAAACCTGTGACCCTCCCAAATTATCATTTCAGTATATTTACAGTTTTCTACACACAAATGTTCACACCTGTGACCCTCCCAAATTATCATTTCAGTTTATTTACAGTTTTCTACACACAAATGTCCACATCTCTGACCCTCCCAAATTATCATTTCAGTATATTTACAGTTTTCTACACACAAATGTCCACATCTCTGACCCTCCCAAATTATCATTTCAGTATATTTACAGTTTTCTACACACACAAATGTCCACATCTCTGACCCTCCGAAATTATCATTTCCGTGTATTTACAGTTTTCTACACACAAATGTTCACACCTGTGACCCTCCCAAATTATCATTTCAGTTT